AAGAAAAAATTGGAAAAAACAATAAAGTTCCGAAGTCTGCAGCAGGCAAAGAGTCGTCAAATTTCTGACTTAACAGAAACTGATCAATGTTGTAAGTTGAAAAATACTTATTCTTTCTGTGTCTGTAAACAATATGTATTTTTAGGAATCAGCACCTGGAATGTTAGGTGAAATATGTCAAAGATCAAGAAAATGACAATCTCGTAAAAAGTATTCATCTGAACTTAGGTCGTTTGCCTTAACGTTAGGCTTTTATTCAACAGATGCTTATAATTATGCAAGAAGTTTTAACATGGCTTTGCCACATATAAAAACAATTTCTAAGTGGTACAGATCTATAGGTGGAACACCTGGATTTACAAATGAAGCATTGGCTGCTATTAAAATGAAAGTAAGAGAAACAAACAGTGAAATTTTGGGCAATTTGGTATTTGACGAAACGTTTATAATGCAAAGTGTTGAGCGGAATGGGAAACGATGCACTGGATATGTTGATGTCGGCATTGAAGTATATGGGGATAATATTCCAGAAGTTACGAAAGCCCTTGTTTTTATGGTTGTAGCTATAAATAGTCATTGGAAAATACCTGTTAGGTATAAAAAGCTAATTTGTTAGAAAAATGTTTAGAATTTTTAAGTGAATTAGGTATCAAAATAGTTTCTGCTCCTTCAAATATCAAATTACGGCTTTACAAATGTTAATATTAATATTAATAAGTAGGTAGATTATAAGTTTGTAGCATTATAGGTTATTTGTTGACTTATTACTGTTTCAAATTAGTTTTCTAATAAAAACTAGAAAAATAAACCAAACATTTGTCTTTTTATGATTTCTATAAGTCACTAGTGGGTTTTATAAGTCATAATTTACTAGTGACTTATGACTTATAACTCACTAGTGACTTATAGGCCCCATTATTCCTTTAAAACCAAAGAAATTATAGTATTATATACAAGTGTTGGATAAAAGCATTTAATTAATCAGTACTGATCAAAACAATTTGAGTATAGTAAAAACAGTTTATTAATTTTACTTCAATTTTTACCGTCTCATTATATCACCAATATGTAAAAATTATTTATAAAATGAGTAATCTTTTGCCTTTTTTGACAGTACGCCACTGCCGTTGTGTCTCATTGTTTACATTTGACACTATCTATCTTTATTTATTAGGTAGTTCTCTGTTTAGATGTTTGCTACAGTTAAAATACATGTATAAGGATACACAAAGCTCCTTCTAGTGGTTAGAATTCGTTGAGAAGAACGCATGACTGACCGTCAGCCATATTGAATCCGCCATCTTGGATTTGGAAACTGAAAATCTAACTTCATATTCGCGATCAGTGACCCTGAAAACACCCCAGTGTAAAAAAATTCAGACGAAAATATGCTGTAGAATCATGTATGACTCGAAGGGTTAACTGACCTACTCATCGTAATCAGCGACCCCAAACGCCCTATAAGGATCAGACCGCTTTGGGTGTTTCATTGTGGATCAAATCTGAAACCTACCTCTCTGCAAAATTTCAGCAAAATTTACCGAAAGACCATTTTCCATATATTTTGTGCGGGGTCCTTTACGTTGCTGAATTTGTGACATATACAACTGGAGCTAGACAAAAATATGTGTAGGTTTACCAGTATGTCACAAATTTAGCTTATATGTTGTTTGGAAAAAACATAGACGCATGCAATCTAGGGCATTCGAACAATTTAAGCTAGGAAGATTAGTAATGGTCATCAATTCTTATAACTTAATTTTCGACGGTTTAAAAATATAACTCAGGATTTTTTCCCAATTAAAGCACAACAAATCGCACACAGCTTTGTTCACTTTAATTTGTAAAAGATATTTAATGAGGGATAATTTACTGACAATAGTTGTAACCACATTTGAAATATTACATACGTTGATGTGGTGCATTCGTGATTTCCAAGAAATATTTTTTATTTTCTCGCTCCCAAAATCATTCCCAGCCAAAATAAACCTTAACCTCAACAGGTGTCTATAATTAGAAGGATTTTTTGCATCTTAAGGTTTCTTCTCGCTAAAGGTGCTTATTGATTTTGAGCAGAAACTGGTAATAAACAAATAACCTAACCAGTAGTACACTTGAGTATTTAAAACATTTATCAGTACCCACTTTATTTTTTAAATTAGCCTCGGGTTTGTTCAAATTCCAAACAAGCGCTTTTGCCAATGGAAACGTGAAAATAGAAAGTTTTTCGTGTGAATTACGAATAACAACATTCCTTTTTGTACACGAACTAGAGAAGTTTTTTTTAAATTTTTCAATAGCCACCGTTTTTACCAAACAAATGGTTTTACACGAATTGTACATTTTTTATTATTTAAATTTTGTATAATAAATTGATGTTGCTACAAAACCAGTGCAAAACTAAAAAAAAATATATCCACCTCCTAGCAACTCAAAACTATAAAAAATAAAACATACCCATATAGACCAGCGAGGTTCTGTTTTGAGGTGGATGTGAGAGGGGGCAAGCAAATTTTTTCTGGATTACCTTCAGTACAACTAACATAATAAAAGTGAAGATCTCTAGATCTGGGCGAGGTCCGGAATATTTTCAAAATTGCAAAAATTTAAAAATACCTATTTTATCGGAGTTTTTTACTTATATCTTGGAATCTATGCATTTTGGAATAATGTTGAAGAGGAAAAAAGTTTTAGAAATGAATTTTGCACAATATACTGGAAGTTAAAAATGTTTTGAATTTATTACCGATGTTACAAATTAGCAATAATTGATGAAAAAAAGGCAAAATAATCAAGTTTTTTTGGACAATTTTTTAAAAATATTTTAATTGCCCCGAGGGCATTCTAATTTCGGTAAAAAAAACTTTAGAGTATAATAAAACAACACAACAAATTTTATTGAAAACGGTTAGATAGTTATCGCAAAATAATTTTTTGAAAAAAATTTAGAAAAATTTTTTTCGAATATTCAAAATGTTGCACAGACTCAAATAAAGCATCTAGGTACTTGAAAATGTTTTCACATAGAAAAGANAAATTTTTTCTGGATTACCTTCAGTACAACTAACATAATAAAAGTGAAGATCTCTAGATCTGGGCGAGGTCCGGAATATTTTCAAAATTGCAAAAATTTAAAAATACCTATTTTATCGGAGTTTTTTACTTATATCTTGGAATCTATGCATTTTGGAATAATGTTGAAGAGGAAAAAAGTTTTAGAAATGAATTTTGCACAATATACTGGAAGTTAAAAATGTTTTGAATTTATTACCGATGTTACAAATTAGCAATAATTGATGAAAAAAAGGCAAAATAATCAAGTTTTTTTGGACAATTTTTTAAAAATATTTTAATTGCCCCGAGGGCATTCTAATTTCGGTAAAAAAAACTTTAGAGTATAATAAAACAACACAACAAATTTTATTGAAAACGGTTAGATAGTTATCGCAAAATAATTTTTTGAAAAAAATTTAGAAAAATTTTTTTCGAATATTCAAAATGTTGCACAGACTCAAATAAAGCATCTAGGTACTTGAAAATGTTTTCACATAGAAAATACCGCTCAACCTTTCAAATGGATTTTGAAAAACTGAAATCGGTTGATTAGAACGGCCACAGTAAATTTTTAAAGTTAACACTGTTTTTATTTATTTTTAAACAATTAGATTACATTTATCAATTTGCAATTTAATTTTATCTGTTTTTAACAAAAAAAAATGAATTTCCAAATAAAAAACATTTCTTTTTAATTATTTAAATAATTGTGATAATTATAACTAAATATGTTCATTTAGGGTGACCCAAAAAAAAACGAAAAATTTTTTCCGTATCTTGTGAAAATATGTTAGTTTGTTTTAAGAGCCCCCTCAAAAAAATTTTTTTAGAGGAGAGGAGAAAATTTTCCAAAATCGTCAAAAATTGAATTTTTTTAAAAATTTTTTTCTCGTTATTTTATCATTTTCTAGGTTGAAAAATATCTCTATTCTGAAAATTTCACTCACAGTGTGGTAGTAAATTTTACCTCGAGAAATTTTTTAAGTGTCGTGATTTATTTCTATTTTTTTTTCATCAAATTCAATAAAATAAATATTAGTTCGTGATATTTATTTTTAGAGGTCGCTCGAAAACATTTTAAGTACACTACTTTTAAAGTTAAAATAATTATGAGTGACCTTTAGAAATTAAAATATAGATTTGAAATTTTCAGAATTCAGATTTTTTTCAATCTAGAAAATGATAAAATATCTAGAAAAAAATTTAAAAAAAATCAATTTTTGACGATTTTGGAAATTTTTAAAAATCTTGAGCGAGCTCTAAAAAAATTTTTTTTGAGCAGATTTTTTGAGGAGGCTCTTAAAACATGTTAAACTAATATACTTTCACAAGAGACACGAAAAAATAATATTCGTTTTTTTTTGGGTCGTCCTAAATTGTTCATATTCAGTGTTGAAATATATACGTAAACAAATTTTTTCATTGAAAAATGCAGCATAGAGTACAATATACAGTATATTTAATGCATAAATAATAAACTTTGTTTATAACAAATTATGTGCAAATTAGACAGTTGTCACTACGATATTCGAATTCCTTGGCTCGCGAGACATGGGATTAAAAAAAAAATTAATTGGTCCATTAGAAGCCGAGATAATGCAATTTTTTCGTACCTTCGCATTTTGAACCTCGAACCGAATTCACTCTCGCACTTTTCGTGTTTTGCATGCACTTTTCCGATGATTTATCTATGTTGCCGATAACTTATGGATATGAAATTTTTTTCCAGATTAGAACTGGGAAAGACGAAGCCATTAGATCAAAGATCATTGCTAAATTGTTTATAAATTAACGGTAAATATTGGATAAACGCAAAATTCCCCATAACTCAACAGTAAATGCCAATAAAT